CCTGTATCTGCCCACGCAGTCTTGTATACACCATCAGCCAGCCAGCCCACTGTCCATACCACCAAACCTGTCACTGAACAGCAGCATTTGTGTGAGATCACCCATACTCGGAGACTGGCATTTCAAAGAGAGGATTTTACTATCTTCTTTGATGTTACCAAATTTGCCATTTTTACTTCCCCTGGCCTTCAGTAACTCTTGTTCCTCCAGCTCAGCTCCTGCTCTGAAGATACAGGCCCTGGAAGATACAGGCCTGTTGATGTGGCTGTTTTATTTCTCACTACTAAGATTCCACCCTGCTCCTACCCAGATTCCACCCCATTCCAGAGGCACAGGAATAAAAAGATGACAAAAAATAGAATCAAAGAATCATGGAGAAATAGGACCAGAAGGGACCTCGGAGGTCATTTAGTCCAACCCCCTGCTCAAGGCAGGAACATCCCTGCCCATGCCATCCCACCCAAGTACTTGACTAATCTATTCCTAAAGGTCACATCTACACAAGACACTAACTGAGCAGTAGCCCATGATTACTATGCAGTAGCATCATGGAGCAGAAAGCATGACATGACAGTACTGTGAAGTAGTCATGAGCTACTGCGCAGTCAGGGTCATGAAAAAGCCATTCCTCAACACTACTGTGCAGTAACTCTGGTTACTGCACAGTCAATTAGTACTTGTTTATACAAGTACTAAATGACTGCACAGTAACAACCCTGTCACACAGCTACAAAACACATTGCCCAAAAACACCAGGGACACCCTAACCTGCCACAGGTAGAACAGGGGGAGCGAGGGCACTATCAATGTCCTGCTGCCACAAGCAAAATGGATGAGAGACTCAAGCAAAAGGGCCATGCCCACCCCCACCTCCAGCACAATGAAAGGCTAAAACAAAACCGTACAGTCCAAATAAGATCTGGCTATTCCCAGCCTGGATGGGCTACTAGAGTAGGCATTGCTGGCATATCTCCAGGTCTTCAGAGGCATGTATATTTATAGCTTGGCATCATCTCACTTATGTTATTAGACAAAGCAGTTACGAGCAGAACAACTAAAATTGGTTGAGGGATTCCCCAGCCCTGGGCTTGACTTTGGTCTCAGCTATTTTGGTCTGATACAGAAATAACAACCAGTCTTTTTTATTATTATTATTCTGATGTCTAATGTCCAAATCTGCATTTCCCTTAAGTGAAGGGGGCCCCCTGGCTCTGGATTTTTCCAAATCAGCAAACAGCTCATCTTCTCAAACCAATGAGAGAGAATATGTGTGCCAGAAAAAGGAAAGCCAGCCAAGGCACATGGGCTGAGCAGCCCCCAAGACACCGGGCCCGACAGCAGCTGTGTAGACATTTGGTCTCAGTGCTGGCAGGCTTCTCCCTGGAGGCCCCAATCCTGAGAGGTGCTGAGACAGTGGGAAATACAGTTGCAAACAGCCTATCAGGACCAGGCTTGTTAATAGCACAAGACACTCCAAGGTCCTTTCCAACACAGGCTGCACTTAGCAGCACCTTTCAGTTGAAGACTTCAAAGTATTTTCCAACTGATTAGCAAGCAACATTTCCAGTTGCAAAGGGTAGGGACAGACCAACAATATACTGTGTGGGGGAATGGGGCAAGGCTTCTCTGCATGTCAGCTGCTCCAGGTTACCTGCCTATGTGCACCTTCTTACCCCGTGGTAAGTGAAAGCTAAACAGGGTTAGCTTTGCTCACAATGAAAGATGGGGGGCATTACTGTGGTGTTACCATGGAATAAAAGCAAGCTCCTGTGCTGTTATCATGGAGCAATTGATATGGAGTCAAGCCCTGCCCTTCCCCATCACATAGGGTAAGTTGTTTGTAGGTCCATGCTTGCTCAGTGGCAGAGGCAAGAATCCAATGCAGGGGGGTGGACTCCCTGTTCCTTTTCCAGGGACAAGGCAAAACGCTTATGCCTCCTCTGATGGACCCTGGTCTAGTAGTGCAGTTAAGTATGGGAGTCACCCATTGACTTCAAAAGGACCATCCACATGCTGGTTGTACACGTTTGAACACTTGACTGAACCAGGGGCCATGTTTTTTTTGGAATAAGCCAGACCCACCAACCCCTGGTGTCTGTCCACTCCAGTGTTAAAAAACCCAAGAGCTCCAGAGACATATTTCTGTTCCTTAGCTCTCATTCTTTGTTTGTGGCCTAAGTCTTGACTAGAAAGCTGCTACTTGTATCACCCTGCTGACAAGGTGCTAAAACTTGTATCACCATCTCAGTGACTAACAGTTTTTCAGCACACTGACTCAACACACTAACTCTGCTTCCAGTCGCACAGAATGTGGCTGCTACCTCCTCTATGGACAATCACTTATGAACTTATAAAAACCTATGACAAAGCATAGCAAAACAGGAACTGAAAAGTTCAGTCCTCAGCCATTGGTGATTTCTCCACCAAGCTGAGAGAGAGGGATGACAATAAGATCAATAATGGGGCTAACCAGGTTCTGGTTCAGATCCCACTACAATTTAGAGTAGTCTTAGGGCTGCTCTAAATTGTAACTGATTGCAATAGCATCCATGGACTTGATGCAGCTGACCTGAATTGAAGCAACCCTGATAATGATTATTTTTTGCAGCTCCCTTCTTGGTGAACCTCAGGACTGTTTTTAGCCAAAGGCATTCCACTAACATTGTCAAAATCAAGCTGAAACCCCCTCCACATTGGGAGGATGAGAATCTTCACTCCTAACCAGATCAGCATTGAGTTTTTGAGTTAGTGGATGCTTCTTAGAAATGAGCCAGTTTTGACCATTAGAAGTGCTCATTTCAGTATCTCTCCTCACACAAGGTTTGAGGTCAGAAACACACTTATAGGTTCTCCTAGCTTTGCAGATCGGCACAGATCTCTTCATCCACCCTTCCTACCTGTTTGACTTCTCTTCAGGGTTTTCTATGCCTGTTCATACTCTCCTGGGGGGATTGATCTGCCATGCTGCTGGAAAAGTCATCCTCATCTTTAGCCTCTTCCTAGGCTCCTCTCCCCTTCCACAGGTCACTCTCCTCTCCACAGGTTACTGGCTGTGGAGAGAAGCCTTCAAAGTGGTGGGTTCCTACAACAAGCCCTGCTGGAGCCAGTCTAATCTCTGGAAGACACTGAATCCGTCTAATCTCTGGAAGATCATTTTGCAAAGAACCGCCTCAACCAGGAGTGCTCTTGACCAGGTCCTGGATCGTACTACAGTCCCCATCTGGCTGAGCTAAGTGGCTGTTAAGCCAGGGTGGTGAGCCAAAGGCTCGCTATGGATAAGAATCATGTTTCTAGGTCTCCTCTCTTTCAGGCCTCTGTGTAAGGAATGCAGCCAGCAGAGAACTAGCAGTCATGTGGATAGTACAGTGATGAGACATAATAGCCAACAAGAGATACCATCATTTACCACCCACAACGACTCTTTAGTTAAACAAGGATGTTCTTTGGTTGGATATCCATTTTCTTTGGAACCTCCCTGCAGAGCAGCTGCTGGCACTTGCTGGAGGTAGAGTGGCTGTTGAATACACTCCAATATTGACCGGGCTTCCAGCCAACATCAGCCTGTCTAGCCCAAGACTCCATCAAATCTTTATGGAGGAAGAAGGGTTACAATTCTGCTTACAAGGTATTGTCGCTCCTTTTTTCCTGGTCTCAATGCAAACATTGCCAAGATTTAAAAGAAGAAAAATTATGATAAGTAAAGTATATATATAATTTGTTCTTTTGTTTTATTCACTATTTTACATTTCAACACATTTAATAGGTTCATTTAATTGGGACAGCTGCTTACAGATGATTTTTAGAACTACAGTAGATAAGCCAAGACATACTCAACCATACTGGTAATCTCTCTCTCACAGGACACAAATACAATCACCACAAATGCACATACCATCAACAACCAGACATTTCCAATGGTTGGATCTCAGCTGGACCGTCCAATGCTCATTTTTAAAGACAGCAGTATGCATACCCAAGAGATGTCTGCTATCATACAGCCATAATTATTGCTATGGATATAGGCCTCAGTTCCACATCTCATTTGACCTCCTTGCTGGAGGTTTGTTATGAAAATCTGCAGCAATATCCCATTGACACCTAACTGACCAGGCATGTCTCCTTTGCCTTCAGACTGAGCCAAGAAGTGCCACAGAGAAGCACTCCCCCTCCACTCACAGTGGGCACACACCAATAAGCGTGTCCATGACAGAGCCAAGAGTGGCTCTGAGCAGGTGCTTAATATCACTCCAATGTGCTATTAAAATACAACAGCCAGGGAAGTATCCTCTGACAACCCTAACCCAACGATGATCGATGCCAGGGAGGTATGACAAGGGATGGATTACGTTAGACATGCCTTGTACATATACTCTCCCTCTAAAGCACCTACTACTACTTGCCACTGTCAGAGAGGAGATACTGGGCTAGACAGACCATTGGCACTGCTTACGTCTGACCCAGTATGGCACTGCTTACGTTTTTAATACAGCTGTTGCCTAATTTCTGGAATTTAGCATATACAGAACAGGAACATGAGGATGGGGGAGGCTTCTCAGAGTGCTCCCAGGTTGACATGCCCACTAAATCATACCCCAGCACAAAGGTTATCTTTAATAAATCCACATCTTCAAAACAACATGAATTTGAAGTCATATATGTGAATGTGTAATCACTAAAGGGATGGCTGCTTTTTTTTCGTTTTGCTGCTCAAAATGAGATTAGATTAAAAATGCAAAATTGAGTATGGGGACCATCTGGGCAGTTTATTCCCAGCCATTAATTTGTAAGGAACCAAATGATTTTGAATGGGCCAGATAGTCAACTTTGAAAAGCTGCCTGGGCAATAACCATTTTATAAGGAACGTGATGATGATTTCCACTGTCATTCGTAATGCACACATTCTATATAGCACACATACAATGCTCCCAATGACTCCATTGAGAATTTGCTCATTTCTATGCATATCAACTCCCCACCCCACCCCACCCCCGACCCTTGGCCAATCAGAGTTCAGGTGATTAAATAACTGTAAAATACTCTGTATAGCTGAGAAAACCATGCATTTCCCCACCTAATACAGCAATGAATCAATGTATCATGCCCCACTGAAATAGTGGTGGGTGAGTGGTGGGCACATCACCCATGACCTCTGATTGACTGAGTGTTCAATTTCAACATAAATTCAAGTAACTGTGATGTGGAATTGACCACTGTTGAGAAGAAATCACACCCTGCTAGGTCCCGGCTCAGGACCTGCAGCTTCGCCAAGCTTATATTTCTAGCATGTACAAATGCCTTTTCACTTTATATTCCACAGGGCTATGTTATCTCTCATCTCTCTTCCATTGTCCCAGGTAAAGCTACTCTCTAGTAAATAGCAATAGCTCTCACCTGCTGTGAGGCTGCTCATCAGGCCTCATTTCTAACACCTCCCACTTTACTGTTGCCTCATTTATTTTTCTTCATATTTGTTCTTCTTCATTTTTTTATTCAGACCTTCTTCAGCATGACTCTCTCTTCTCTTCCAAATTCCCCTGCCAGTTACATGTATTCCCAGTCTTTGAAGATATGCATTGCTTATTCTATTCCTGGGTTACCAGTCCTTCTGACTCGCTGTATTCAGCCCTCTGCTCATGGATTCCGACTCTGAGAGCTTCCATTGTCGTGCTTGACAGGATGCCCCAGCCCTACCCAACACAATGGGAGAACGAACCCCAGGGCACTGTGCTCCTGAAATGCAGCACTGAGAATGCCCAAGAGAGGGTTACTTATCCTCTCCCACCAAAGCACCCACCTTGCCCCCACTCACTTCATCACCTAAGGACTTGACTGCTTAAGAAAGGTCTCAGACATGCCATCCCACCTTCATTCTGGGTGCCAATGCCTACTACTTTCCCCATAGCCATCAGTAGGGGCTGGACACCCTGTACCGGCTTTTCACCATCTGAAGCAGCTTTTGCTTGAAAGTAAGGAACAGGATAGCAAAGGCAACAAGCAAGGTCAAGCAAATGGGAAGAGCAAGCACCAGGTACAACAAAGCCAAATTCACTGTCATCCACCTGCAGCCCTGAAGGACAGACTCGGGCAGCTCTGCTGCATGAAGCGTTCTGGAGGAGTACAGACAGGTGACATCCACCCTGTCTACAATGTGCACTGTTTGGAGAGTGTGCAAGAAGTCCCACCATTCCAGCTTGCAGCAGTTGTATGGGTTCTGGCTGAGGTAGAGCATGTCAAGACTCTTTCCGAGCTGCTTCTGCATGGCATCCTGTGACAGGGAGGTGAGAAGGTTTCTCCGGAGGTTCAAGGTGTGCAGCTTCAGACTACCCAAGGACTCTGGGAAGCTGTCCAGGGAGTTTTCAGACAAGTCCAAACTTAACAGGTTCTGAAAGCTAGAGAAGTCCATATCTGCTGTTGCACAGGATAAGCTAGCATTCCTGAGAGAGACAACTTGGAGTGTTAGTGCAATATCTTGCAGAGGCCTCAGGCTCCTGGACAGGGCTCTCTGATTGTTAGAGAGATCTAAGTGTGTTAGCGAGGTTCCACTAAAAGCATGGCCATCCACCACATCTAGGCCACATCCAGCCAAATAAAGTTGTTTCAGGGTCATAATATTCCTGAAGTCTATGCAGACAGAGTACTTACTACCATCTGCATTAGCTTGCTGGGGACAAATATCTATCCGGTTGTGACTTAGGTCCACTGTAGTGATCTTTGGTGTGTGGGCAAAGAGTTTAGCAGGTACTTTCTGTAGCCCATTGGCACTCAAGTTAAATAATCTGAGATTTGGCAGTATGCCTTCAGAACCTAGATCTACCTGTAGCTCCAAGAGCTGGTTCTGACTGAGGTCCAGTTCAATAAGCATGCCTGGAGGTTCTTCCTCCCATATATGAAAGGTCTGCAAGCAGTTCTGATTGAGCTTCAGATAAGACAGGGAAGTCATACCTGCCAGAAACCCTTCGGGCAGATACCAGAACTGGTTCTGGCTCATGTCTAGGAACCTCAAGGAGGAGAGGTTGCTGTGGATGACCTCATCCCAGAGGCTGAGCGTAGTGATGTTAGTGATATTGCCATCTATGAGAAGGAACTGCACAGTGACATTTGGAGGGTATGTGGCATTGGGAAGATGTCTATAAAAGCACATCTCATTGTCCATCAGCAGCAGGGAGCTCAGTTTGCTTTGCCTGGGCAACAATGGGAAGAAGAGGAGCCGGTTATGGGAGAGGTCTAATGTCTCCAGCTCAAATAGAGCATCACTCTCTACAGCCAGGAACCACTCAATGATATTATTGCTGGCATTCAGCATCTTCAGCTGGGTCAGGTCAAACTCCACAATGCAGGGAAGGTAGTTGTAGGCCAGACTGAGCCTCTCCAGTCTCCGTAGGCCTTCAAAGGTGCCACTCTCTATCTCAAAGATGTAGTTCTTCTCCAGGTTCAGCTCCTGCAGCTGGCTCAGCCTCTCAAAGATAAAAGAATCCAGCCTCATGATGACATTCCTAGCCACAGACAAGGACTCCAAGGAAGACAGATTCTGGATGAGGGTAGCCATCATGTCTTCAGTGAGTTGGTTCCCAGACAAGTCCAGTTTCCTCAGAGCTGGTAAGGACCAAAGAGCAGCTGCTGTCACAGAGTAGTTGGTAAAGAGAGCATTATCCGCCAAGGAGAGAACTTGGAGGCCTCTGTTGTTTAGGAAGGCTCCAGATTCAATAAGCTTCAGTGTGTTTCCAGACAGGCCGAGGTTCCCCAGCTGCCTGTACTGCAGCAGAGAGGCATTTTTTAGCATCTGTATAGTGTTGTCATCTAGGAAAAGCTCCTTTGTGTTAGCTGGGAGGTCTGCTGGGACCAGCTTCAGCTCCCTCCCATTGCAAGCCGCAGCTCCATGCCCCTGAAGCAAGAAACATATGGCCATTAACACAACTGGAAAGCGTAAGCCCAGAGGCAAAGGCCTAGGAGCAGTTCAGGTTGGGAGACATCTTTGATACACACACACACACACACACACACACACACACACACACACCACCTCCACCACTCCCTTAACTCCTCCCCCTTCCTTCATAGGACAAGTTTTGAACTGTAACCACAGCAATGGTTGCCTGAATCACTGAAAGAGAGAGCCCTTTGGACAGATGGTGAAGAGCAGGGTGGCATTCTACTAAGGAAGAAGCAGGGGCTGATGGTGTTCCCCAGGCCTCCTCCAAAAGTGTTCAGTCAGATCATCCTCTGCTTTTGGACTTTAGGAGTATGCCAACAGTGTGTCCTCAGTACTGCCAAGGAAGCCTACTTTCTAGCACACCCTGCCCAACCACTCCAGCTCAAACACATCATGGAAGCTAATCCTGGGAGAACCCCCACAGCCACTTTCAGTCATACCAAAGATCAAGAGATGTCCCCAGATAGGCTTTCTTGGCACACTGTCAGGTTTGGCTCATGTAGGTGGGATGGGGTTACTCAAGAGTGTCCATCTCTGGGAGCACAGGGACGCAATGCAGGTAGATCTACACTGCAACGGAGCATGTTCCTACCATAGGCTGGCTAAACCCAGTCACAATAGCAATGAAGATGAGACTGACATGACTTAGTATCAAGTTCAGCCTCAGATTCCCCAATAGCTTTTACCTGAGCTGCCAACCTGAGCTAAAAACCGTGTCACTTTGCCTTGTCGGCTGTTCTAGCCTGAGTAGCAAACTTGGGGTAGTCAGACTAAGTTAGGGACACACTGGTTTTGTGGTGGAGTCATATACTAGGCTTCATCAGGAATGAATAACAGAAGGGACATCCCATACAAAGCCAAGTTCTCAGGGGGGCTCAGCACCCACAGCAGCGGCTCAGGTCCTATTTAGTCATCTGAATAAATAGCTAGAATCTAGAAAACTTGACATGCCAAACCCAGCCCTTCAGAGGGAAGCTCCTGGGGGGCGTCTTCCACTGCCTCTTGTACAGCACTAAGCCCACCTCACTGATAAGCCCACAATGCTTGTTTTCAGAGTGGAAGCTACAGCTGCTTGGCACTTCTGAAAAAATAAAAAATAAAAATCAAGCCCAACATCACAGCAGTCTCCTAAAAAGCCAGCGTCTTCTTGGGCAAGCGCTCCCAGTGGTTCTTTCCATTCCCACCCCAAACTACCCACAAATCCAAGTCTGGTGCCCACCTTGCTGCTTCCTTCTAGATCTCCCTCTCTCCCTTCCTCCACCTCACATCTTGGTTTTTATTTATTGTGAGGACAAAGTTAATAAATGCGGTTACTATGGAAATGCCTCTTCTATGCTCTGCTGTGCCCTCTCCCACTTTATCAGTCAGCTCCCCAGGAAAGAGCTGTTCTCAGGATTCCCTGTTTCATTCACTGTGCACCACATTAGATGCTCACTTCACAGTCAAGAATGGAAGCCTAAGTTCCGCCTACATTTAATTAAAAAAAAAAAAATCTTTGGGCCAAGATGAAGTTGCAGTCTAATAGATGAACATCAAAGCTAGGGAGAAACAGGTTGGAGTTGCTTCCTCCACCATCCCTAAAGCAGCAGCTGCCAAAAATGGGCAATGGGTTTTTTTGCCCCCTCTTGACAAACAATTAATCTGGACGAAAGCACAGTTGCACATCAAACCAAACTATTGGTGACTTCAAATAAAAAGTTAGCTATGTAGAAAGCAGGCCATCAGGGGGAAAGAGAAGGGATCGCTTTGGAACCACATGAATTAGCACCAGGGAACTCACCAGTTTGCAAACCCCATGAGACATTCCAGTGTGGCTTCCCCATCCTCTTCCTAGAAAGGCTAGACCCAGGCAGAGCCAAAGCACCGTTGTCTCCATCTCAACAGCAGTGCTCCTGCTAAGAGAGAAACCCAGGATAAGACCACGCTTGAGAGGCCTGACCTGCCTTTATCCCATGGGAAGGATTATTTTAGGGTCCAACCAGTTCCCAGGAAACACAAGATGGCATGGTCACTGCCTCACAGAACTCTGCCTCAAATACGGTCTTACACTGAATTCACAACGTAGATTCAGGCCCTAAATATTTTGACCTGAAGCTGGCTCTGCTCTGTGAAAAACTTATGAGGCTGCATGCTTCCCAGAGCTGTCTATGCACATTGGGTCTAATGACCCACTATCACTTCCTTTGTTTTCTGGACTAGGGGATACACAGAAGTGGGAATGGACCAGGTGGGGCACCAGTGACACCCCAAGCTGGTGGAATACTTCCTAGAGGGTTAATACAGAGCAGCAAAACATAGGGGATGTTCACAAGCTAGGCCAAATACCTGGGTACAAGCTCAGCACAGGTAGAGAAGCAGAGTAAATTAGATACAGATTGCTGGTACCTGAACTCAGGTATGCCCATACCTCCCAGCATCCACTGCTCTGATTATAGTGGATATTTACCTATAGGGGGCTCTGTGGGGGCCAGACTCTGACCTGAGACCCACTTAGGGACTGAAGACACCTTTCTCCTTCACCTTCCTCTGATCTGACAACCTGAGCCTCTTTCATGCCGATAGCCTCATTTTACTTTTCACTGAGAGGCCATCTCCTACAATGTGCCAGCACCTTTCTAGCACAAAGGGACCTCCCCCCCACCCCCCGACCAGGTCCCACTGTAATGCAAGCAACAGAAATTCATGCAGGATCAATTCACAGGACCAGCAAGTGTGCAGAGACGCACCATGTTGTGATGTTAAGACATGAAAACCCTTCTCAGAGGAACCACAGCGCCTCATAGAACAGATGCTTCCATCCACCTGCAGCGTGTCATAAAGAAGTTTCCTTCCAGAGAAGCAGCAGAATCCCACACATCGACTGTTCCCTTTATCTAATCTCTTATTAACAAACAAAGGGCTGGATTTTCAAAAGTGCTGGGTGTCCACCAAACTAAGCCCCAAATTCTCCTGAAAAATGTCTTTCACCAACAGTCCAGTGGTCCAAATCAGTGGAACCTACTGCCTTTTGATAAAAAAGTAATGGGTTGATGATGCCATCTGTTTATAGCATTTTCACTTAAGACAAATGCAAACCTAGAGGGGCAGGATATGCAGCACATTTACACTGGTGCGATTTACTTTGCTTTTGCACACTGGCAAAATTGCACCAAGATCCAGAGCAGACAGATGATCAGCTATCCCACAGGTAGTGACACACAGTAGGCAGCTATATATGAGCACCTTACCAGTAGGCAGTAGGGAAGCATATAGGAGTCTGTTTGTCTTGAGCAAACAGTTATCCCACAATAGCTGCAGACACACACCATTTATGCTGTTTTCCCCCAGGGTAACTGCATCTGACTGGAGGGCCTGGTGGCAATGGCAGGGCTACTCATGGCAAGGTAGCTCCTATAAAATACCACAATGTTGCAATGTTTCTTTTATGGAGAAAAAGTAGCAGAAGGGTCAAACACTCCTCTTGGCTAAGCAGGGAAGTTGCAGCCTTCCTACAGAAAAAGAAAATAGACGTACAAACAATGGAAGCTTGGGACAGCCTCTAAGGAAGACTACTTGACAATGGCCTGCACTTGTAGAAAACAGATTAGGCAAGCTAAGGCAGAAACTGAACTAAAACTAGCTACAAGAATCAAGGACAACATGAAGTCCTTCTTTAGCTACATAGGGAGTAAAAGGAAAACTAATGGGAGTGAGGGGCTGCTGCTCGGTGCCTCAGGAGACCTGGTCACTACCACTCAGGAAAAAACAGAACTCCTAAATGACTACTTTGCCTTGGCCTTTCACAAGACCAAGGGGAACAACATGCCAGGTAGGGCACAGAGCAAGCAGGGCAGGACTGACACCATTCCCACCATTGACATAGAACTGGTGTACGATCAATTAAAGACATTAGACGTATATAAATCAGCAGGACCCAATGAACTCCACCCAAGAGTGCTGCAAGTGTTGGCCAAAGTAATCACAGAGCTCCTGGCAAAGATCTTTAAAAAATCATGGGCCTCTGGAGAAATCCCAGGGGACTGCAAGAGGGCCAATGTTGTGCCCATCTTCAAGAAGGGGAAGCATGAAGACCCAGGAAACTACAGGCCAATTAGGTTAACTTCTATTCCAGAGAAAATCCTAGAAACATTCAAAGAGGCTGTGTGTGACAAACTTGCAGAAGGCATGATACCGAATGACAGCCAGCATGGCTTCATTGCAGGCAGGTCTCGTCTGACCAGCCTCATTTCTTTCTGTGATCAGGTGTCTCATCACCTGGATGAGAGAAAAGCTGTTGACATCATATATACCTCAACTTCCAGAAATCCTTTGACCGTATCCCATGAGGAACTGATCAGAAAACTGGAAGATATTGAGCTCAACTGCAGGACCATCAAGTGGGTGCAAAACTGGTTGCAGGGTAGGACACAGACAGTCCAAGTGAATGGATCGGTGTTGTCCTGGTGAGATGTGGGCAGCGGTGTACCCCAGTCGTCAGTACTTGGCCCAGTGCTTTTCAATATCTTCATCAATGACCTGGATGAGGGGGTGAAAAGCCCATTGGCCAAGTTCATGGACGACACCAAGATATGGGGTTGTGCAGACACACCCGCAGATAGGCTGCAGATACAAGCAGATCTAGGCAGGCTGGTATGTTGGGCAGAATGCAACCAGATGAAGTTCAACATAGAGAAATGCAAAGTGCTGCATCTGGGAAGGAAGAACCCCCAGCACACCTACAGGCTTGGCATCGCTAACCTAACCAATGCTACAGTGAAAGGGATCTGGGGGTAACAATAAACCCCAGCATGAATGTGCCAGCAATGCGACACAGTAGCTGCTAGGGCCAATAAAACTCCGGCATGCATCAATCGATGCATCTCCAGTAAATCCAAAGAAGTGATTCTCCCACTTTACTCAACATTGGTGCGGCCACAGCTTGAGTACTGTGTCCAGTTCTGGGTGTCACACTTCAACAAGGGCGTACTAAAGCTCAAGAGGGTCCAGAGAAGGGCCACACGCAAGATCAGGGACTTGCATGGCAAGCCATACAAGGAGAGGCTGAGGGATCTCAGACTCTTCAGCCTAAAGAAAAGAAGGCTGAGAGGGGACCTGATTGTGGCTTACCGCTATATCAGAGACATACATCAGGGGCTCAGTGAACAACTGTTCACCAGGGCACCCTGGGGGGAAAACTAGAAACAACGGCCACAAACTCCTGGAAGACAGTTTCAGGCTGAACATTAGGAAAAACTTATTTACAACTAGAGTGTCCAGACTGTGGAACAAGCTCCCCCAGAGGTGGTGCAATCATCTACCCTAGAGGCGTTCAAGTGAAGACTGGCCGGTCATCTGGCTGGGGTCATCTGACCCAGATGTCTTTCCTGCTCATGCAGGGGGCTGGACCCAATGATCCTTCAGGGTCCCTTCCAGCCCTATGATTTTATAATTTTAACCTCCAGAGTAAGGCGAGTATAGGGCACCTCTGAACCCTAGCCCTCAGAGTCTTGTGGGTACTCCTTGGTTGAAGCAAGACTAAAGGACATCACCCTGGCAGAAATGCATCCTCACTGAGGTGTTAGGTGTCATAACCCAAAGGTATGATTTTGTGTGTGCTTCGGCACCAGAATTATCCCCACCAAATTACAGCTTCATTGCACGGTGGAGTTTTCTACTGCAGCGGAAAGCTCCGGTGCAGGGACGAGTTTCCCGCCTATTTGCAGCTTCCTTTGCAGGGTGCATTGCTCAAGTTGCAAGAGAAATGCCCGGTGCAAAGGAGTTCCCGCCACCCGCATGCAAATT